ATGTGATATATAGCCAATATGCGATGTGCCTGTCAGAGAGATTGTTGAAATGCTACTTTGCCTAATTTGATAAGCTTTCTTAGGTCAACCAGTAAAATCATGAGTTTTGCTCTCACTGCCTTTTGTTAATCAAGGCACAAACAGAAAGGAAAACAGGCAAGCACTTTCCTTTAGAGATCACACATCTAGAATCATAGAATACTACAAGATATACTCCTTTCAGTGTCCCATGGTTGGGAACATTTCAAGTAACAGCTAATTATATAAATATAATTGTATATAAAACGTGTTCCCAGTATTTCTGGTTACGAAGAGTGTGTCTGCACACATTGTAAAAACATTGTTTTTGTGTTTATGTGATATTGCGATGTACCATCTTTACTCTGTTTCTCCAGTTTCTTTAAGCAAAAATAAAAATCTGCTCTATGGCTTCCCAATCCTGATTTTTTTCAACTTTTGTGCGCACTTATAATTTCACCAGCTGAGCTGTCTGTTAATTCACTGAGCACTTAATAAAACAAATAACTGACATACAAGGACAATTTCATTGTTACTGCACCTACTGTAAAAACCTTCTATTTTACTTTATACGTGAATTCTCCAAATTCTTCAGAGCTCAAAATATTGAAAAACAGATTAAATTATGGATTTATGGATCTGACACAGCAAAAAGTATACACTGAGATCATTTGTATTAGGTTTGAATGCTCTGGAAATTGTACTGTGTCTATAGAAGATTAAAATAGCAAAATATCAGTTTTTAAAAAATTAAGCATGCTGCCAGAAGATGTCACTCTTTCACAAAATGTAGAATATTCTCTGGAGTCTGGTAACGATAGCACTCACTTTTCTCAAAAACACAAATCTACATATGTCACAAAGGGGTGAAAATGATTTTCCTTTTGCCCCTTCTGTCAAACTCAGCGGGTGCAGTGCGGATGAGCAGTCTCTGACAGATACTGATTATACCCTTTTAAATGGAGCAGCTGTAATCAATGCATATGGTGTGATTGGGGACAAGCTATTCATGCTGAAACTCTGGGCTGTGTACTGACGCACAAAGCAGTACCAATCAGCACGTCAGGAGATATCGACTTCCTGAGTGGTGAGCTTTATCTCTGGGATCAATGGCCAATGACACTCATGTCCTACAATCGCCTCACCTAACTTGACTTTCCTTGTCAGCAAGGCATCATGGTTGGTAGTACCTCCAAAACAGCACCACGCACTTCAGATCCATTTCAGAACCTCGGTTCCAAGTCAGGGAGATGCTGCTCCGGCGCATGTTACAATTCTGCACCTCAATTCTTTAGCATTTGCTGGCTAAGCTGTCGGCCTAACACATGCTCAATCCAAACAACTGGCAATTGGATGGATGGAAATGAAAAACAGTTACAAAAAAGGGAAAAAAGGTAGATTCCACAGGTAGACTTGTTGGAAAACCGTGTCTGTTCATCTTTATTCTCAAAAAACAACAACAGGTAATTCCAAATATTTTTCCATACCCCTCTTACATGTTGTTTCCCACTAGCAGCGTTATTAATTCCTAAAGATTCTTCCAGGCTTGGCATTGCAGTGGGCTACTTTTCAATCACCTCCATTAATTTTTTGTCCTCCAGGCCTAGAAGAATCTATGCACGTCACTATTGAAACACTTTTCCCCCTGCAGCGCCAAACTTGAGCCTCAACCAGGGGCAAAGGTTACTTTGAAGATCCTCCTGCTCAGTGCATGTGATTATGATATCGGCACAGGTGGCTCTGATAGCCACTGGGCATGCAAAGGAACTTTGATGTTGCAATGAACGGGGCCGAGATCAGACTGTCAGTAATTGTGGAACATACAGAAATGATCCCATTAAGCACCAGACCTTACAATTCTGCCGCGATCCTTAGCACGCTTTTGAGAGCTTATGACAAACGCCTACAAAACTCCATTGCCATCATTCCATGGGAGGCGAAATCCATCCATTCCACAGGAGACAAAAATAACACCTTTTACATTTACCAAACTGGGGAATAAAATAAAAATATTTATTTCATACTGTCATGTGTATATGAAATAGACAGCCGTGTTGCTTGACAATTAAAATTAGAAAATTTATTTTCTCTATTCAGAAACAATAACCATTCCTAGCTTTTATAAAGAGCTTTTCATTCTAAAGAATCTCAAAGCATTTTACATATAAAAAAGGGGACCCACTTTGTCAACAGCTGAAAAGGGGCCTCCCTGTGTTGTCCTATAGTCTTTGTATTTCTATCAACATGTTCCTCTCTTCTTTACTATGGAGAGATCTGGGAACAGTTAGCTTAAAATAGTTTCAATTACATTTAAAGTTTAAAGATACAATTTTAAAAAATCCATTGTTTCAGCTCTTACCAAGTGTGCATTTCCATTTTCTAGTTATCAGAGCTGAAATCAAAGTACTTCCACTCAACTGAAAATAAACAGGATTCTCCATGGAGTTACACACTTTGTCATACTAAGGCTTTCATTAATTCAAGCGCTTGTGTCATCGCCTGTGTTTGTAAAACCAGTGAAACGAGCAGTGTTGATCTTAATAACATCGGTCAGAGTATGAAACATCCTTGGCGAATCCTTGATGATGTTTCCTGCAGAATGCAAATGCAGAAGATCACATCTCTGTATGATTCCCATAGATTTCCATAGAAGGTTCCGAGGAGGTTTACCCCAGGACAGATCTCAAGACTACAAATAAAAGGAACTCAGTGTAAAATGCAACTTTACTATTTCATGACGGCTTAGTGTTTTATGGTTTAATTTTTATTCATACAGCCTGCGGTACGGCACAGACAAAACAATTACTACCCGGGTACATTTATTATTTACTGTATATATCTTCTGCTTTCCTTCAAGTGCAAAACACAACACAAGCAAGAAATATTGCCTGCAATTCAGGGAGTCAGAGCCTAGTATCTCAGCATGCAACAGGCAAAAGCAGGAGAACACCCTGTTCAGGACAACAGTCCATGGTAAAGCAGACACACAGACACAAACAGAGACACACAGTAACAGCAGGGCCAGTTTTCCTAGAAGCCAATTAACCCACCAGTATGTTTTTGGACTGTGGGAGGAAACCACCAACCAAGAGCCCACCTTCTGTGGCATGTCTTCCACGAACACTGACAACATTTCTGTGTGCGCACAAGATGTTGACAGGGAAGTAGAACCCTATGCAATGTTTGCTTAAATACATAATTTGCATACAGGATAAACATGGTTACCCTGCAAGCATCCAAACACTTCAGTCAGATAAGAACACTGGAGGATGAATTTTTGCTGGAGTAGTTATTTGGCAGATGGGAGTGGATCCAGAAAGCTCAGAACAGAAACACATGGAACTGTGTCAGGTCACGGAGTGAACAAGAAAAACCCCTTGGTTCCCTTCCGTTTCTTAAGCTGAAAATGTTTACCTTTGCCCCCTGAGCAAAAGCGAAACCTGCTTTGCCTCCAACTTACGCATTCAGATTCACTAGCAATACAAACAGAAGCACATTGTTGCCATCAGTGAAAAACATATTCTGTGTATCTCGTAATGATGAGAAAATTGTCCTGAGATAGTAGATTATCACAGAATTTCTGTGATAATCATGTCATACAAAACCTGCATTATGATTAGGTGACTTTCAGTTTTAAGCAGTGGAATCTATTGCATGGTACTGTCTTTCTTGTTCAAGGACAGGTTGAGTGTCTCATGGTCATAATGATTGTGTACACATTAGCTATAAATTGTAACATTTAAACAAAATTGAAAGTTCCAGCTGAGCTATCGGTAGCTTCTAGGTTCTGTCATTGCACAATGTTGTTCATTGTTGTTGGTACGCTTAATTGATCATTTGTATCTCAGCATTACGTGTCGCGTAATAAAGCTTTGCCCCATTCTCAGTTCACCTTGATCACACTGTCTCTCTTTAGAGTAACATTGCGATGGCAGCAAGCATATGTCTGTGAGAATTTAAAAATAATGAAATCACACCGGACGTGTGGAATATACATACCAAGAAACAAAAGCACTGAACCTGGAAAAAAGCAGCACTCCTGCACTTCAGCTGCTTGATATTCAAAGTTTTGGATTTACAAGAATATCATAGTAGCAGTGACTTTTGTTGTCAGTCAAGCATGAAATGAACCAATGCTCTTCAAGAGCTTGAAACTATAGGATCACACTCTGTAGGGAAGAAGAAAGAAGCACATAGCTGTAGATCTGTGAGGACTTTCAATGCAATCTTTTTATCATTTTGAACCCAGCTGAAACCTATCAAGTTATTCTTACTTTCAATCACTTTTCATCATGTTGCATCAGTGTAGATGAAGATTATACTATTTAAAGCAACAGAATGGCAATATTTAAAGACTGCCATGACTTACCAATGTTTTAGATAGCTTCCATAAAATTCTGCTGCACCTACCATTTCATCAATTAGATAATACACATATAATGGAAGAATAAGCCTTCTAGATCAATAGTCCGTAAAGATTCTGTGAAAAACCTGCATATAGGCCACATGAATGGGTTTTCTATTAATAAGCTTAAATGTAAATGCTTGGTCTTTCTTTCTGTGGTTTGGCAGAGAGAATTCTTCTAGTTTGGGTTTAACCTCTAGTTCCATGCTGTCATGAGAAACCGTCAATGTCTATTTGCTTGTACTCAAAGCACAACTAAATAAATGGGTTCAGGAATCGTATGTCTTAGGCTCAAGGAAAATGAATTGTGTAAGCATTCCCAGCCCTGTTTGTAGCAACATGGCATGACAAGATGTACTGTAAATAGCTGACTTTGGCAGCTGTATCCTTCACTCTGAGCCCCTTTCATTACAATACATGCTGGGATCCTGGAACAGCAATCTAAACACTAGGGTGAAGTCAATTGTTCCAAGCATGTAAAAGCCCAAATGACAGACTTCCACTTTCCAACAGCAAAGGAATTACAGCGAAAACAGCCTTGAAACTTTCTCTCCTCTGCCAAAGAAGTGTTACATACCAAATGCAAGAGTGTCTTCGCATGGAATTGTAGTTGAACTGCATGGCTTTTCTGGGAAAGCGGGAGTCTCTATTCATCATAACAATCCTAGTGATCCACAACGCATCTCCAAAAACTGAGCTCCCTCATGAACTCTGGGCAGCTGGCTGCTAATGACCAGTAGGGCATTTCCACCGGTATCTCCTGCTCATTCTCGTCCCACATGTTGTTTCAGTAGCTCCCAGACAGCTCAAATGCCTGTTACCAAATTCCCGTTCAGGTGAACTTGCAGACCTCCTGCCAAAACGTCCTCCCAAAGCAAGGTCTGCGATGATCCTTTTCAAAGGCAGGTAGGGAACTGCTGCTGGTTTCGTATGGCTGGCAGCACCAACAGGTGGTTGTAAATCCTACAGGTTCACGGGGCTGTATTCATGCAAATGTTATGGCTCATTTGAACATTGGTATTCCAGAAAAAAAACAAAGCATTCTTTGTGAATTTCAAACAAAGGCTTTCCTATGTCCGGACATAATCAGGAAAGCAAAACTTAACCTGCGCAAGATGGTGTTGAAGTTTATGGTGCACTAGCACTGAAATGAGCAATAGTGATCCCAACACAGCATCCGATTCCTAGAGTAAAGTCGGGCTCTTATATGTTTTGACAAGGCCGCTTTGGTTCATGTTGACACAGACACCATACATATCTTTCCTGGCCTCTGGCAACAAGCTAAATTAATCTCTAGATAGTTATGTTACATCTATTGCCAGTCTAGATCAACAGCCACTTCACTGTTTGTTTTCTTTGGCTCAGGACCAGACTACAAGCAAGGTAAACTTGAACTTCTGTTTCATTCGTTCCTAAATAGGAAATGCAAAATTCCTCTCCCCTCCCCCCCAACACCATATAGAGGAACAAATCAGATAATCCCTCCTAATAGGGTTTCTGCAATTCCTTAACCCCAAAGACTTGTTTCCTTTCAAAAGAGAGGGCATGGAAGAGACGTCCACAGACACAGCAGCAGCGATGCAAATAATCGTAACAACAAAAAATGACCTCTTGCTGCAGCTTGTGCTGAGTTAGTGACAATCCCTCAGGCAAACCAGGAAATCTGTAATTAACCAGAGTGAAATTTCAGAATCCGTATCAAGTTTCCCAAGTATCCAGGGTCTCGCACATTAAACTGAAAATTCAGGAGAATAAAGCAAAACACAACCCGGTCTTTGTGAGAAGCTGAAGCTTAACTCTTAGCTGCCAGCAGATGTGAGACTCATGAAGGCTGCACAAGCATGACCGGTGGGCTAGGCTTGTTTTGTCCCAGATTTTGTTCTCAACATGAGGGCGCAGCTGCCTGGACTTGTTTCAGACGTGCTGCACGATGTTCACCGCAGTCATCTTCAGCTTGCCTGCACTGGATCAGCCTGAGTGACACACTCGATCGACAGCTTCCCAACAGAGCGGAGACTCGTCGGGCCGAAAGTTCAATACAGGCGGCACTGTAGTGTCAGCTTGTGTTGATAAGGGGGGAGGGACATTTTCCAAAGGATTTTGTAATGCGCTCTTTCCTAGCATAGTAGCTACTTGAGCTAGAAAACTCCAAACAGTAGTTCCATGGCTTGAGATATTTCAGTTCTGCCGAAAACATTCAGTGTGTTTGTCATGACACCCTGTGTAAACAAGAGGATTTTTCTTCTGTCCTGGTTTGAGTCTTGGTGCTGCCTAAAGTTGACAACCTCATTCTACTGCAATGCACACTACACCATTTTAGTGATGTGCATAAACATCGTAACACATTGTTCTATGTTTCAGTTCTGGATGGGCAAACTTTTAACTTCAGATAAAGAATTATCTGAATTAGCACACAGTCACACCATTAACGTTCGGAAGGCGCATGTTAAGAGATTAGGTGCATGAGAATATAGTCACGACAGGTTTCAGGGGGTCAGTCCCTCCATTTGCACTCTACTTTCAATCTAAAAATCTGCATGACTTAGTTTTTTCTTTACCATCCACTAAAAGCAGGCTATAAGTATAGGTACTATACTTCACAGCATGTCTAAGATTACAGTAGCATTTTATGACTAATGGCTTAAGGCTTCCAGCTGTTTCTGAGGTATGAGTGAAAATAATGAGTGGCAGGTCTTTCAGTTCTTGAAATGCCTATCTCTTGATCTCTCTTTTTAAAATCTAGCAGAGCGGACTCTCTTTAAATCCAGACTTACATCCTTCTGATGATGTTCTAAATAAAGGAGCTATATGAATCTTGTCAACTGTACTCTACTGCTGAAAATGCCTCCTTCAACACATCTAGTCCAGATTTGTTTTTTACATAGAGAAAGCAAATACAACTCCCCAAACCTTGCATTTGCATATGAACTAGAAGCATGAGTTCATCTTAAAAGAGCATGCAAATAAGGTATTGTACTTAAGAACGCATTTCAAATAATTGGATACAACACAACTTAAAGGAAGATCAGAACTAGATATAAATAAGAAAGTTTGAGGAGAACTTCCACATGTTTCCTTGGTTATTTAACGTGATGTTGACATTAATTTGGTCTCTCAAACTGACAAAGAACCTGATGTGTCAATGCCTCTCGCAGCAGTCCACGGTTGTAATGTGTATGCTCCAAAAGCAATTGTGAAAGTTTAACAGTACGAGTCTATCAGGAGACATTGTAGGCTAGGATTTGTATTTTAGTATTGTGAAAACTGGTCAAAGCCTATTCATGTATGCACAGAACTGTGAGAAGCCCCATGTGATGATCAGGGCTCTTGGTTGGACAATATCAGACATTCTACTTTGTTGCTGGATTTATACGCTAAGAAAGGCTTTAATCCAGACTAAAGTGGAATCCCTTGCAGGGATCAGCCAGTGTGTTGCTACAGCCAATATACTGTGCGTCATTACTCTAGCCTAGAGTCAGAGCCATCCAACAGCGAATGGGCTCATTAGAGCATGAAACTGACACTAAACATAAATTTGTCGATCCGTCAACTGGTTTCTGCACTGAAGAGACAGAGGAGACCCTGCTTGCTTGGTTAAGCCTGGTAATGAGAACACTGAGGTTACACTGTGACCTGGCTGACCTCCCTGTCAGGCACCAAGCCAGAAAGCCTTGCGGTGCCCCCTGGTGGTAGCTGAGAGACCCGAGTCCAGAGGGCCTCTTACTGTTCCAAGTTCAATCACATTTCATACACTGTTTTCATAGCTGTGTGTCGCAGTTACTGGAGTTGTTGTTATCGCCCCTTCCCTTATTTTACCCCTTTTTCTTCTGGGTTTTTTTTTACACTATGACTTGTAAAAACTTCTTGCAAGAAAGCTATTGGTGTGAAGGTTTGTTCAGATGCAGACCTGCTTTAACTCCAGTAGGTGGAAAATTCCACAACAATCACAAAACGTTGTTATTGTCTTATATTTAGTGTGGGATGTCATGCTACAGTACCAGGAAATTCAAACTACTATGGTTTATTGTTCAATTTCCTAACCTTTGCCCAAACCTTAATCTACAGCTGTACATCTTTTAATGTGCTTGCTCTGTTTTTTTTTAGCCAGAGGTAAAAGAGTACCAAGATTACTAATACTAAGAGTACTAAGACTGGCAATAACGGTCTCTGCTCAGTGTCACTGTATTATGGAGCTGAGAGCGTCAGGGCGATGAACGTAGATGTCTGGAAGCCATAACTGATACTTAATCTGCACCCCTTGTCAGCCATTAGGTAAAATGCTATCCAGACTTGCTCTCAGGCTCCAATCTGTGTGCTGAACTCACAAAGCACTAGTAATTGAGGTAGACTTGACAGACTCAAATCCTGCGACCGATCTGACATTAAGGGGACCAAGTAAAGGCAGTGACAGTGTTCAACATAGCCTCCTAAAAACTCTTGCCTAAGTAATAATAAGCACTGATCACAGCTCTTTGAATGTTTTTTCATTAAATGAACGTCAATCTTCCATTTGTCAATGATGAAACATTTAAGCTCGATGCTTCTCTTTCCAGGAACAAACACTTTGCAGTTTATTACTAACTGAATTGTAAGACTTTTTAACTACTTTAGTGATGGTGCTTTACCCCTGGTTTTTCCTTGTAGTAGTAGTCTACTTTCAGTGAGTTTGTGAATGGTGGGCACTCATTCTCAAAAGTGGAAAAGACATTCTTCTGGGCACAATTTTGGCTATTTAAAGCATTAAATCTTAAGTGACTTCTAATCATCATACACAGAAACGAGGAATGGGTTATATCCATGTTGATAATGTCAATTACATCAACTGTATCCTATAGAATAAAATGACATCAAACAGCAACAACTTACCAAGGACTTACCAAACAGGAAAGTTGTCACTGGCTGCAGTGGAATCAACGTGCTTGCTATACTCACCAGATTTAAATTTACTTAGATCTTCAGTCACTTCATATTAAAAAAGCAAATCACCACACTCTAATAATAGAACCCTTCTCTCATTTCATCCCCTTATATGGCAATAAAGCCTCACTGCATTAAAATCTTCCTTAAATAACTCTAGAACTCTGGAGGAGAAGTACTGTAAGTGTTCACTACCTGTGCCTTAAAGCAGTTAATTCACAGGAAATCTTAACTGATACCAGCATGAATGAGGGTTCAATAACCTTAGTACAGATATCATTGTCACACAAGCTTTACAAACTATTGCACTAAATAAACAATTGAATAACTTTGAGTTGTGTGATAATAGGCTTGAGTGAGTGCCAGTATTTACTGTATCTCTGCAACTGTACTGTACAGATTCATGCAAAGAATACACATATAAGCACATGCAACAAGCATGTGGTGTTGCAGTTTTTGGAGTAATCACCTGGTACCACATTTTAAACAGTTTTTGAGATTTCTGCTTTATGCCCACACATCACATCATTGGGGAGAAAGAAGAATGATACCTGCTCTGCCACAACCCACTCAGCCTTTAACCTTTTGACAGCTCCACAGCTCCTGACAGAAGAGTTGACTGACTGGAGGGCTGTTGATCGGAAAGCACAAAGAGCCGTCCAGCCATTCTTTAACCACTTTTAACCACAGCTGGAGCCTATCCTGGCAAGCACAAGGCTGGGCACACCCTGGCTGGGTGCACTCTGGGTACAGCAGTCCATCACAAGGCACACACAGATACAGACACGGACTGACATACACACTCCGCCACACCAGGGCCAGTTTTCCCAGAAGCCAATTAACCTCCCAGGACTGTGGGAGGAAACCGGAGCACTCGGAGAAACCCCAGACAAACCCCACACAGATAGCACCCAGCTCGGAAATTAAACCCTGAGCCCCAGAGCTATGAGCTAGCAAAGCTCAACGCTGCACAACCACAACGCCATCCCAAAGAGCCTGGATGACTGATCCCCACGGAACCCCCCCAGTGTTCTGCTAATTGTGAACACCACTTGCAGAGCCCAGGCTGGCTAATGACGTGGCCCAGGCTGAAACTCACAGCGTCTCAGCTCAGTCTTTACTGGCCAAGTCACTGGGGGAGCCCCCAAAATTGCTGGATCTTAACAAGGTCTTCTCATAACCACGGCGGGCCAGTTCACATCCAGGGCACAACATCTGTATTCGAGCAAGTGATGTACAGAGTACACATTCCAGCATTCTCATGGAGCCCATAAAAACAAGTTTAAAAAGACCGCCGGGGTAGGTCCTGGGTACCCGATCATCTGCTGTTTTAAAGCTTCTCCTTGTGCTTTTCATTTGGTGAACAACCATTGGAAGGGCTTACATTATGTTATTTCCCTGAGAGCAGAAACATTCGCAGAATGATGTCCCAGCACAGCACAGTGTGCAGTATTCTGACAGCTCACCACAATCGGCACCACTGTTCAAGCACTGATAAGATTTTGTCCACTAAACCAAGCATAGTGTGCACAGTGATCCATTGATGGCACCATGATAAATTAATGGAAGCTCCCATTTACAGAGGGGCAATGGATGCTGCCTAAAGCACACAACTGCACACCCATTATTGGTCCTTGTGATGTACTGATGTGCATACTGTGATGTGACAGTATTTTGTGAGTTCTGGAGTCCAGCAAACCCACAGCTGTGCCTTTTTGAAGGCTCAGAAAAGCACCTCTACTGAAAGCAGATATAAGAGCAATTAAAGTTTCAGCCATGAGGCTGGTTACTATAGCTTTTCAACTTGATGCACAGTGCAGTATCAAGGTGCTTTTCAAAAGTTTTTACTAAATAGTAAAGTTTCTCCACTGGATTTTTTAATCTATTTACTAAAAACTTTGTTGGCTTTTGTATTGATTTCTAGAACCATACTTTATAATCAAGACAAACAACTCAAAGGAGCCTAAAATCACTAAATAAATCCTCCTGA